GCAAGAATTCGTCAACAGACTTCATAAAAAAACTCTTCAGAGGACAAGCCCATCAGGAAGGATTTAATTTGGAATTTTTTTTAAAACCAATTCATGTTTGTAACACAAAGCACAGCAATCAAAGTGAACCATTCCATTGCTCAAATAGTGAGCTCTATAGACTAACTAGTAAGAACAGAGGAAATTCTAACAGTCCAATTCTGATCAATGGTCAAGCAAATCTTTGTTTCTTTTCCAAGAATGCAACACTCTGCAGAACTGTAGCCACCCCCACTCCCCAAAAAATTATTGATAGACTGGAGAGCTTAACAGTGCAACCCATAGAAAAAACTGTGTATTCATTGTGCAAAAAAAGTTGTGGTTGCTTGAGTCTTCATGAAAACTCAGTGGTCCGAAGACTGAGGCCAAGTAAATTCTGATGTCGGGGTCAGCGAAAATCAGAATTCAAGAAGTCCGATGGGCTTGTAGATTCTCAAAGTCATACTCAGTCAAAATATATTTAAAATGTCTTGCTTGCATAAATTTTATTAATATTTAAGGCATGAATTTAATAGCTACACAATTTATACCGTTATAAAGTGGGTTGGGGCAGTTTACGCTTTATAAACCCTGAAACGGTTTATAAAAAAGCATAAACTGTTCCAACCCATTTTATACTGTATAAATTGGTTAGCTATTAATTTCATTCCTTATAATTTAATTTTCATTCATTTAGTTTAAGAAAAAAGATGATTGCTCTTAAAAAATGACTTCGAATTGTACAAAATTTTAATGTAACGTCAGGTGGATCAATACATTTCTGACGCAAGTCATTGTGATGTAGGCAACCCAATTTATACGATAAAAGTAAATATTTTATCCAATCAAATGGCGTGTTACAATCAGAATTAAATTATATTTATTTAAATAAAAAGAACAAGCATGTGTTGGTGTTTCATATTATTATACGTAACAGGGACGTATTACAGTATATATACTAACCCTGGACGTGACAATTGAAAAAAGGGAACTAACTAGTAACTATTAACTAGTATGTAAAATGCGTGAATATCCTACGAACAACTTAATGAAACAAAAAAGGGCGAAAAATGGCGGCGTTTCTAAAGTTGGCATGTATTAATTTATAATTCTGTATTCATTTTTTTTAAATTAAGGGGAGGCAGTAAAATTTTTGGTGTGCCAGTAAATTTAGAAAGTTCACTGGTACTACAGGCCAGTAAGTTTGAAAAGTTTTCGTGAAGACAGTCTGCTCTGGATTTATTTCTCCAAATTCTTACCTCAACTGCACAAAAACTTGATTTCAAAATAATTCCTAAGACCTTTATCAACTACTTTCATAGCTGACAATGTACAAAGGCAGGGTTCTCAATAATTTTTAGAGTAAGTGGAGGAAAAGAAAAAGTATAGGGAGCACTGTTGACTTGAGGGCCAAAGGCCCAAACCAAGGGCCACTGGCCTGAGGGGGGGGAGTCCGAGAGGGGGGTTTCCCCCTTTCTGCAATATGGGGTCCCCCCTCCCCCTGGAAAATTTTTAAAAATTTACATTGCAGGAGGTGGCATCTGGGACCTATCTCGGCATATTTTGACTTGTTTTATTTGTTCTCCATATAACACTTTTTAGGAGCCCATTCTGCCAAAAAAAAAAATCACAGGAGTAGCACACAGCTTATCCATTTAACTTCCTTGATTTTTGTAATTTGTTGTAAATAAAGATTTTTCAAACAAATTTTTGTTGCATTTCTGTAGCAGTTGTCTGCAGCCATCGCCCTTGCTGCAGTTTCAAAACCGAAAATGAAAAACGCTTAGTAAAACTTAAACCAGACCGATCGCGATTCCAGAATCATCACCACATTTTGAATGACAACCATTTAATGTTTACGCTTTTTTATTCACTACGATTAATAAAACAAATGTGATAGCCGAAGACCTCTGCTGCAGTATCGATTTTTCTTTAAATGATCCTTCTGATTTTTGAAAGTAAAGTAACCGGCACCATTGTGTAAATAGAAGGCAAAATTGCCTGTTGCCGGCACTTAATGAGAACCCTGCAAAGGGTGTTGGACCAAATTATCTTGCCATCCAAAATGGCAGTAAAAATAGGTGAAATTTTTGATAGTATGTGTCAATTTTAAGCCCAGGAGGTAGGGCTGTCACGGTTCCAAAATTTTTCGGGTCGGGTCGGTTCTGTAAATTTTCGGTTCGGTTTCGGGTTTTTCGGGTCGGGTATTTACATCTATTTTAAACCTTAATTTCATGAATTTAACTTGAAAAATCTTTATTTGTTACATTAAATTTACATTGAAAACAAGTCTTAACCATGCGAACGTCTAGACATCGGTGACTTGGCCTACTATTAGCCACAACCTGACCATTCCTGCTCATTTTGATAATTATCTAATACTTCCGTGACAAGTGTTTTGTCATGGAATGAAGTAGATTTCAGTTGTGATGTTTATTTATCACTGTTATCGTCATCATTCCTTTGATTTCGACGCCATTTTTTGTATTGAACAGACTCTAATATATAAACCAGACCCGAACCGAAATCTGGAAAAATGGAACCGGAACCGAACCGAACAACTTGGACCGCGGTTCTCGGTTATTTCGGGTACTCATGACAGCCCTACCAGGAGGGCTATTAACAATGGTTATTTGGAATGTTTTTGTTGTGGAAATAGTAAAAGCACATGTTAGGAACACACAGATGGCAACATTTTGAAATGGCAGTTTGAAAAAAATATGGTGAAATAAATCCAGAAACAGCACACTTTTTGTGCGCAATACACTTTTTCAATGAGTAGCACTGATACAGTAGATCTCTGGTCGTCCATCCCAATTTTTTCAGACCAGTGAGCTACCGATCTGCAGCTAGCTACAAATTTACAAACATTGATTGATAATCACTTAAATTATTACATATATGTAGTCTACCACGATTTATGTTATGCAAAGAATTCAGAAATAATAAAATATACCAGATAGGCCCACTTTTAAAAACTGGCTTTTTTTCCACTCCCTTACCGAGATCACACTTAAACAATACCTCCATCTTTCAATATATTTGACAGAATAAATGTAGTTTCAGTAGTCAGTACATACGCAGGGCTTTCAAAAAGATTAGAAACAGGTGGTGCTTTTTCAAAATTAAGAAGTACCTTGTGGAAGCAATTTTAATTAGTGCTGTCACAGTTGCCTGAAATAACCGAAACTGTGGTCGAAGTTGTTCGGTTCAGTTTCAGTTCCATTTTTCTGGATTTTGCTTCGGGTTTGGTTTGTATATATTTTAGAATCTGTTTTATACAAAAAAGGCATTGAAATCAAAAGAATGATGACGATAAGAGTGATAAATAAACATTGCAAGCCAACTGAAATCTACTTCACACATGGCAAAATATTTGTCTCAAAATGATTGGATGACTTTTGAAATGAGCAAAAGTGATCATGTTATCGCTAATAGTCGGCCTAGTAATGCTAAACATCAATGTCAAGACGTAAACAATTGAATTCAATACAGCAGAAAAAGATTTTTCAATTTTAATTTATGAAATTAAAGTTTAAAATAGATGTACCGGGTAAATAACCAAACTGAAAAACCTGAAACTGAACCGAAAATTTACCATTTCACCATTTGAGAGACACTAATTATGTATCGCCAAGAATGTCATACCTTACTGAAAGTTTAAGCAGAAAAGAGAATTGTACTAATTTATCACATACATTACTCTGCAACAATTTTAATCCACGAATCAAATCCCCATGAACCAATATATTTTTCTCAAACCATGAAAATTTCAACCCTCGAAAATATGTGATTTTACAGTATATCCAAAAATAATATCTCAATTCAATTTCAGGAATAATAAAAGTGTTCTTATTTTTCCACACAGTTTTTCATCTTTACTTCAATGTATGATGTTTATACATGTATCATTCAAAAACATGTTTATAAAAGTGGAAGATTTCATAATGCTTTTGCTCAAGTAGAATATTCTTTATAAACCATAACAAACAAAGCTCTCACTTAACCTGATTTATCTGAAAAGCCCACTTTCAGGTTAAGAATGGATTTCCTATACAAGGTGGATGAGTCTTTCCCTTGGTAGATTTGAAGTGTAATGTAAATGCAATTCATTTTTTATATTGATTTGTCTGAAACTTTTATGAGTTCACTATACATGCAGTTTCAGTTGTATGTTTTCTCCTCATAAAACTGCCACATAAAATGGTGTCTTCTGTCATAGAATAGCAATACTCTGCAGTGTACTGGGGAAAAAATCAATTGGTGTGGTCAATAAACTGCAGATTATTAAAACATTACTTCTCCCTTCATCATCTGAATGATTCTTACCTCAGACTTATTTAACCTCTCCACACCAGTGCATACAGTATGCCATTTTCTCTATAACATTCTTGAATAGGACCCAGAGAAAAAAACTGACCTTGCTTTGGTACGTGAACATCAGACAATTTACCCTTGGTAAATATTGACATTTTGTGTCACTCTACGTTTTAAGCCAAGGTGAAAATCCGAGGACACACTTGTCAATGAACATTGCAGACATTAATACCTGTAGATTTCCTCTCTCTCTCTCTCTCTCTCTCTCTCTCTCTATATATATATATATATATATATAAAATATAAAGGAAATGTTTTATTGAATATCTTACCACAATAATCATAAATCATTCCCTTGTCTCTACAAAATGGGTGTGCCCAGCTTTCAAAAATTACAAAGTGGATCTCTATTCATTTTGTACATCCTAATCATGAAATCAATTTTATGATGTTTTATAAGTAATTATCAGCAGTATTCCCATAATGTACCAATAATGACCTTAATCATTATATGAAAATGATAGTTTGGATTATTTTATCTGTCAACCAATCATATTTACACTTCGACACATGTATTATTTCACCACAAAAAACATACTCTTAGCATTAAAAATAACCAATCAATAGAGAAGACTTAGACAACTTCTGAAATAGTTTTAATTTACCTCATTGTCTGCTTCCATTTCTTCCCTTGTGGCCTGGACTATTGCATGCATCAGTCTTTCTCTTATGGATGAACTCTCAATCTTGTACTTTTCTTTTAGTTCTTCATTGTTGAGGTTTCTACAAATGATAATCAATCACCAAATTCAGTTCATAGTGATTAACTCTTTAATGATTTTAAGATTTCTTTTTTGAAGTTCATACCAATAGATTGAAAATTATTAGCACACATCAAATCTTACCGAAAATTATCTATTGTCATGTCAGATGGAAAATGGTTGAGACATGAGGAAAGCCCCCTCTTCCGAAGATAATCCACAAACATCAAATGGTGGGATAATCTGCGAATAAATTCTCCCCCCGTCTGGGCCTCAGAGTGTCCCAAAGATGACTTTTTTCTCTTGGGTGAGTAGCTAGGTTCCAAGGACGTCACCACTCGCAGCTGCCGATTTAGAGGTACTGTGATGCTTGCAACCTCCGCATCATCACTTAGATCAATGCTTTCACGCAGTCTGGGGCAATCACTGTCATCACTGAAATCATCTATCCGATTTCTTCCATCAAAACTTTTAAAACTGGCCGAGGTACTACATGGTGAAAATCCTGAAGAAGAGAATGAAGCGTCTTCAGCTTCATCTGCAGGGTTTTGTTTTTTGGTCACTTTGGAATCAGTTGAGACATTGATAGCTGGGGACCCACTATCTCCTTTACAGGTTGGTCCTACTGTAACAGAGGGGCTTGGGTTGCTGTCTGAATGGTGTTCATCTGCCGATTCACTATCTCCTCCGAGACGGAACACTGGTCGCCTGTCACCTCTATCTGAATTTCCACTGCTGGGAGAGTTGACACTAATTCTTCTCTCTTCTTTTTCATGTACATTAACATCTTTCGGATTGACAGTGGGTGGATTCTCCTCTTTCGGATTAGAAATTTCTACTTTCAGCTCAGATCTATAGGAATGTCGCTTTGAGTCTCCTGAAGCCCCTTCATCAGATGAAGCTTGATCCGTACCATTTGTTTTATCAACAATTTTTACTCTCAGCTTTGGCCTTCTGTTTGTTTTCTCTGCCAGTGGTGACTTTACTGGTGTTTCTCGTTCTTTAACAACTCCTGCTACCCCTGTAGGTGGTTTCCCTCCCTTGGGCTGAGGGGTTCGCTTTCCCTTACCATCCAGAAAAAAGAGCGACCTCTTGGAAGTCATAATAATAGTCTATTTATCGAAAACTTGTTGAAGACAGCATTTTGAGAAAACATTGCCTGCTATGAATAAACACTTTCAACCACTATTACGATCTCTTAGGATAAATTCCTGTTCCTTGACCTCAGGTTCACATCCTCTATCGCCACGATTTACAATCAATCCCGACATGGTTTACACATCGCCAAATTGTTCACACAACGTCCGCTCTTAATACTAACATTAGAAAATCTGTTAAGCTAAAGTTTAATGATAAAATGCACACAAAACCTTACATGTGTTATCGACCATTTCTCTTGTATCGGTGAGTCAGACAACTAGCTAATCCATTATCCTCGTGTAACGGATTGTTTTGACGGCCATGACATACTTTCAATGGCCAAATCATTTCGTGTTTTAACTTTCCATATTCTCCATATGCTAATAGCCGAGAACAGCATTTCGAATGCCTAACATTCCTGCCATTCAGTTGTCTCCATAAGCAGAATTACAAACCGTATATTAACACGAACCACTAGGCCTATATCATATGCAATCGTTCCGTGTCGTTTCCTGTTCCCCAATCGCTCGATAATAGTGATTTAACAATTTCCGGTTTTAGCGCGCGAAAAATACAAACTGACCCCTGTGAGTTGGAGGGGGGGGGGGGGGTTAAGTTATGCCAGACGTAATTCGATTATCGAAAATAATCATAGATAGTTAATCTATACATGTATTGTTGTATCTAAAACAGATCACTTTGGTATTTTAAAGAACATGTAGCTCTAAAGCAGTCAAAGGGGAGCAGGGTAAAGGGAGATGGTAAAAGTGGGAGGTGAGAAGAGGGGTAAGAGGATGACCAATAAATTGGTTTACAAATCCAGTATGAATAATGACGACTGATGTGTATTATCCATCCTAGTAAACAAAAGGAAGAATGACATGTAAGACTGGGTAACGTTCGAAGAATGACAAATATCGACCATTTCCTTTCACAGAAATATGAGGGGAACACAACTCACTTAAAAAAAAAACGAAGGCAAACAGGGATTTGACATAAAGAGAGTTTGGGGAGGGGCTTGTCGAAGTTTTTGCTGGCATTATTTTATTTTATTTTTTTTTTTAATTTTTTTATTTATTTATTTATTTTTGTTTATTTAATTTATTATTATAATTTTGTATTTGTTGGCTTCTCAATTATTTTTTCTGATTGCGCAGCTCAGCCTTGAAAAACGATGCTACGTCCCTGTTGTACAATTGAATCTGGTCTATATAAGGAAAAGTTCATACAAATTTTGCTTTTTCTGGCTCAGTGCTTCTTGAGTAGATATTTTGAAAAAAGAAATCTAACCTATCGATCTTAACTACGATCACTGTCTCTATATAATCCTGTGTAAAACTTTGATCCTCTTTTCAATAAATTTGAACAATATTTTATCTTTACAACATGGGGATGCCCGCGTTGTAATTCGCATTATAAACTACTTTTCTCGCAAAGAAGGCTAAGTTAGGACCACTTTTCTTTTTATTCCCATGCCAGGGTTCATATATTTTTTTTTCCGGGCTTGTAAATGACACAGAGCTCAACATAAAAGGAGGAATATCAACATCAAATTGGAGGTCAAGAAAAAAGGCCAAGAAACTTAAATTGTCGTAGTTGAATTACTAGTACTCTCACCAATATGTTTCTGTATGCGGTTTGATGAAAATATCTTGAACAATTATCCATGTTATTCCTATTAAAATGACCTGCATTCAAAATGGGGGGTTGGGGGTTGTCAAATGGAAGATTAACATTGAGGTCAGAAAATTTTGAAACAATTGATTCACCGATATGTCACCGAAGCGATACCTATACATGTATGTACGTATAAACATGTCACCGTATATATCAGTGAATGAAGTTGGATGAAAATATCGTGAGAAAATGCGAAGTCAATTGACACAGTTGAATTGCTCTCACCAATCATATCAATGTGTTAATTTTGATGAAAATATCTTGAACAATATTCTATAAAATTTGAGCTAAATGTAATGAGGTGCAAGGACAAAAAGATTTAAGGAAGATACTAAATGCCCGCGCCTTATCTATATGACTCGACATACACAAGAATGCAGTGCCAAGTTTGGTTATTTGTCTACTTTTTCTGCAAATAGATCGTAAATATGAAAAGTTATCAGGCAGACAGAAGGACAACCAGAACTTTTGATCAGAAAGTCAAAAGGAAATTGTGATTCCACAGAGCTTTAAAGGTGTAACAACAATCATTGTCCTGCCTAAGAATATAGTAACATTTTTAAGTGCAGGCTAGGATAGTTAGATTTTTGATAACCAAGAAAACTGCTTCTCCCATTGACACAGGTTTTCATCATATTAATTTTTATGGATATTTTAAGGAGAAAATGTGCATGTAGCCTTATCACCTGCATATGGAGTTTATGTCTCTCAGTTGATTCGATACGCAAGAGCATGCTCTACGTATGAACAATTTCTAAAACTGGGCAAGCTATTGACAAACACGTTGATGAAACAAGAATATCAACAGTCTCGTTTAAAGTCATCATTTCGCAAGTTCTATGGTCGATACGATGACCTTTTCAGCAAATACAATCTATCATTAAGTCAAATGCTGACTGACGTTTTTCATACTAATTGTTAGGCCATTATTTACACACTGAATTGTGTACGAATTTTCCCGATCATAACAAGGAGCACACAACGGGTGTGACATGTCGGCAGGGGATGCTCATTCATCCATGGCACTTGATCCCACCTCTGACGTTGTAGAGGCCCGCATTTGCTCTGCTCCTGATTTATATTGTTTGAATGGACGTTTGAGCTTGAATACTGTTCTTTATCTCCATATTTCATTCAAAATGTTTAAATCCCTATTGATTATGTGTGTAGTTGTTCTAAAAGTTTTTTTTCGTTTTAAATGAGAAAAGAGAAACAGAATTTTACTTATTCCTCAGAAGAAAAAAAAAGAGTGTCGATATATAAGCTTACATGATTTTTTTTTTTTGTTTTGAAAACTACGAAAGCTTATTAGGATCAATCTATGGAGAGAAAAAAATTAAAAGGCGTTATAACGCCTTTTAAAAAGGCGTAATAACGCGAAAGGCGTTATAACGCCTTTTTTCGCGTTATTACGCCTTTGAAAAGGCATTATAACGCCTTTAAAAAAAAATTTCTCCATAGATTGATCCTAATAGACTTAAGTAGCAAACACAGCATGATCTTGACTTAAAGGCTAACGAATTCTCGATTAATCATGTTCAGACGACAATGATTTTAATGATTTGCAGAATGATAACCTTTATCGTGGTAATTTAAATCTAAAAACAACACCGAAATGACGGGGTATGGCGGTATTAGTTATGTTAGCTAATTTTAGGAGTGTCATGTTCATGTGTGATATATGTATAATATTGAAATAAACAAAGAATCACAAGAAAGCCTAAACTGGATTTTAAATAGTTTTTTCATTATGGTGACACAAGCGCATGCAGGACGTCCACAGCTTACACAGCCGTACCCCCCCCCCCCCCCCCAATTTGGAAATAAGTGTGAAGTGGTGCAGTCATTCAGATGTCCACATTTGTATATGAAATCATACATAAAAAATGGACACACGTACTATAGTATGTATAGATACAAATATTGAGTTTTGATCACATTACTAATCCAACAAGATAATAGTATATGTAACTAGATACTTTAAATCACCTTTCATTTTGTTTCTCTGCTACACTCTCTGTTTAATATAAAAATTAATTTTTCTTTGTAATGACATATATCAGCGAATTACCATTCTATCGAAGATGAGTCACTAAGCATTTATATACAATTGCTTTGTATTTGTAAGAACATGTACATCCTGATTAATTTTTTCGGTAGTACCCCTTCTTTCTATTAAGGAGTCAAGAAAATGAACCTCAGGAATTAAATCCGACGGGAATCAGAGGCAAAGGGACAAGATGTAAAAAATTATTGAGTGTACACCCTCCCTACTCAGGGTGGGGATTGGGAGTTGGGGGTATTTGAAGAAAGCACCACATATTACAGGATCCAGCAGAATGTGTCTCTTGTTTTCTTCACTAAACAGTTCAGCAGTAGATGCTATCAATCATTCTCCAGCTATAATAAACCCAGAAATGAGTGGACAAAGGATCCCAAACAGGACACACTCTACGCTATTTACATCTAGTATATGTAATACATAATATTATTTTTCACTGTGCATAACAACCTGCTAGTAGATTTCCCTCTACATGTACTACGTATTAGTAATTAAAGTTTAAAAAAATACATTAATGTTATAACTGTAAGGCTAATTTATATAATTTTTAAACAAACTTAACTTCTATTCTCATTTTCTCATTCTTAAAATACTTCTACAAATACCGTACTTTACTATAAATATACTTTTATTAAAGATAAATTTAACGTGTCTTCCACTACTAAATTTTTTACACATTACTTTTTCATATGACTCATTTCAAATTTTGATTAACTGCAGACTGGCTAGCCAACACATCTTTAATGGCTTCAAGTCAAAAATTAAGGTAAAATAATCATTACAAGGATAGGTTGATGCATTATTCTATCTATAATTAGTCATTCTGTACAGTCACTCTCTTGAATATGACAACATAACTATTTTCATACAGCTGATTTTATTTTAATGAGATGTTAATGATCCGTACATCATCATACGGCTTGTCTGTTTTGGGATTAACCTTGACATTACTGATGGCTTGACACACTTCCATACCCTTTGTAACTCTACCAAACACCGTGTGCTTATTGTCCAACCATGGCTGAAAGGTAAAAGAAATAATAAATAAATAAAACACATATTTTTTTTTTTTAGTTCTAAACCTAAAACCTTGTGCAATGAGAGATAACTCTGCAGTTGATACTTGGCTTCTTGTATGAAATTTTCATCTCCAATACAAATTTTGCCCTAAATTCAGAAATTTGCTTGAAATCAACTTTAAACTTCATCTTCTGATAGAAAACTGTCATTATTCATATTTATACAGAATCTGTAGTGAAATACCACTTATTAAAACAAATAAATGCTTTGAATTAATGATTGTAACTAATTTACAAATGTAGTCTAAATATATTAAATATCCTGAATAAAATTATACAAAAGCAAAAGAGAGATATTTTAAAGTACCGGTAAATAAAACATTGTTTTACAAGTATTCTATTCAATGAATAACACAGAGGACATACTGTTGGTGCTACTGTGATGAAGAACTGTGAGCCATTAGTGTTGGGACCTGCATTTGCCATACTGAGTGTGTAGGGTCTGTCATGTCGCAAGTTTGGGTGAAATTCATCTTCAAATTCTCCTCCCCATATTGACTCTCCTCCAGTACCAATACCTGCAATGCAAGATAAAAAGGTATTCTAAACAGTTGCAGATAATAAAAAAATACATGGAACCACTTCTAGTGTGCTGAATAGCTTTGCCTAATGACCTGTCAAATACAGAGAAAAATTATTGAAGAGAGACATGAACCTAGACATACTGACCCAGAGGATCTCCGGTTTGTATCATGAAACCTTTTATAACTCGATGGAAAATATGAGAGTTGTAGTAGCCATTCTTGGTGTGAACACAGAAGTTTTCTACAGTTTTGGGGCATCTGAGAATGGAAAATACTCATACAATAGATGTGTAAGTTGTTAAACATGCAGATTTTATACGAAAGTTTTATCCAAGAATATTATCTAAGTACATGAGTAATATCAGAAAAAATGATACTCAGTAATATTTTACTTACTCTTTGGCAAACAATTTGATGTGGACGTCACCCATGGTGGTGTGAATGACACAGGTCTCCGACACTCTTGTATAAGACGCATCCTGGGGAAAAGAATAAAACACAAATAATTACACTGATCAAATAAAACTGACTTACCAGTAGACAAATACTTCTGTAGTTACAGAAGTTATGATAAAATTGGTTTGAATGAAGTAATTTTAATTTTGTTATGATAAAAAAATGGGCACAGTCTTATTTCACAGATACTGCATCACTGAAAGTTGTAATTTCTAGGCGATTACCTGTGTTTCACTGACAATTGTAATTTCTAGGTCATTACCTGTGTTTCACTGAGGAATGTAATATCTAGGACATTACCTGTGTTTCACTGACAATTGTAATATCTAGGTCATTACCTGTGTTTCACTGACAATTGTAATTTCTAGGTCATTACCAGTGTTTCACTGACAATTGTATTTTCTGGGCCATTACCTGTGTTTCACTGACAATTGTAATTTCTAGACCATTACCTGTTTTTCACTGACAGTTGTAATTTCTAGACCATTACCTGTGTTGCTGCCACAATGTCCTCCTTGGAAGGTTTTTCATTAAATACATCTCTCTCTGCATCAGCACTAAATGAAAAAAAAAATACTAGATATAACTTTTTTGTAAAACAGATGTGTACCGGTACATCAAATGTAAACATAGGTAATCAGAGATTACAGAGCTCACCTCAACGAATGTTGTCTTTAAGGAAGGCAAAGTCCCACACTAAACTAATAATCTAGGAGTGTGCATCCCTAGATGCAACATTTATGCAATTTTGGTCTGATAGGGCTTGCAGTTACTTGGGAATAGACTTATCTGAAAACTTAAAACTAATCACTCATCCAGAAAATGTAAATCAAATCCAGCATCCGAAGCAAGTTTTGAGATTGTCCGTCCCTTGATACAGCATCCATGCAAGTTTGATTCAGATAGGCCTTATAGTTACTTGGAAATGAGATCTGCTCCAAAAACTTTAACCTGGTTACTCATCTGGAAAATGTAGGTCAGATCCAGCATCCGAAGCAAGTCAAAGTCCCACACTAAACTAATAATCTAGGAGTGTGCATCCCTAGATGCAACATTTATGCAATTTTGGTCTGATAGGGCTTGCAGTTACTTGGGAATAGACTTATCTGAAAACTTAAAACTAATCACTCATCCAAAACATAGGTAATCAAAGATTACGAAGCTCACCTCGACGAATGTTATCTGTAAGTAAGGCAAATTTCACATCATATTTTTTTTCTAGTGAGGGTACATCCCAAGATCAATATCCATGCAAGTTTGGTTTAAGTAGGACTTGTAGTTAGTTGGAAATAGACCTGCTCAAAAAACTGTTTACTAATCAAGAAAATTTTGGTCAGTTCCAACATCCAAAGCAAGTCTGGAAGTTTCATCCTTGAATGCACCATCTATGCAAGTTTAATCATAACAGGCCATAATTTTATATAGCTAATCCAAAAAAAATTATCCTGGTCACTCATCTAGAAAATGTAAGTCAGATTCAGAATCCAAAGAAAGTCTGGAAGTGTTCATCCCTAGATACAGCATCCATGCTAATTTAGTTAAAATATTGCTAAAATTCACTCATGTGGAAAATCTAGGTCTGATCCAGCATCCGAAGCAGGTTTGTTAGTGTACATCCCTAGATGCATCATCCATGAAAGTTTGGTCCAGGTAGGGCTTATAGTCACTTGGGAATGAGACGGCTCCAAAATCTAAATCTGGTCTCATATGTGGAAAATCTAAATCAGATCCAGCATCTGAATCAAGTGTGGTAATGACCATCCCCAGATGCATCATCCATGCAAGTTTGGTCCAGGTAGGGCTTATAGTTACTTGGGAATGGACCTGCTCCAAAAACTTTAACCTGGTCACTCATCTGGAAAATCTAGGTCAGATCCAGCATCTGAATCAAGTGTGGCAGTGTCCATCCCTAAACGCATCATTCATGCAAGTTTGGTCCAGGTAGGGCTTATAGTTACTTGGGAATGGACCTGCTCCAAAAACTTTAACCTGGTCACTCATCTGGAAAATCTAGGTCAGATCCAGCATCCAAAGCAGGCGTGGTAGTGTCCATCCCTAGATGCATCATCCATGAAAGTTTGGTGCAGGTAGGGCTTATAGTTACTTTGGAATGGACCTGCTCCAAAAACTTTAACCTTGTCACTCATCTGGAAAATCTAGGTCAGATCCAGCATCTGAAGCAGGCGTGGTAGTGTCCATCCCTAGATGCATCATCCATGCAAGTTTGGTCCAGATAGGGCTTATAGTTACTTGGGAATGGACCTGCTCCAAAAACTTTAACCTGGTCACTTATCTGGAAAATCTAGGTCAGATCCAGCATCCGAAGCAGGTTTGTTAGTGTCCATCCCTAGATGCATCATCCATGCAAGTTTGGTCTAGGTAGGGCTTATAGTTACTTGGGAATGGACCTGCTCCAAAAACTTTAACCTGGTCACTCATCTGGAAAATCTAGGTCAGATCCAGCATCCGAAGCAGGTGTGGTAGTGTCCATCCCTAGATGCATCATCTATGCAAGTTTGGTCTAGGTAGGGCTTATAGTTACTTGGGAATGGACCTGCTCCAAAAATTTTAACCCTGTCACTCATCTGGAAAATCTAGGCAGATCCAGCATCCGAAGCAAGTGTGGAAGTGTCCATCCCTAGATGCATCATCCATGCAAGTTTGGTGCAGGAAGGGCTTATAGTTACTTTGGAATGGACCTGCTCCAAAAACTTTAACCTGGTCACTTATCTGGAAAATCTAGGTCAGATCCAGCATCCGAAGCAAGTGTGGTAGTGTCCATCCCTAGATGCATCATCCATGCAAGTTTGGTCCAGATAGGGCTTATAGTTACTTGGGAATGGGACTTGCTCCTAAAACTTTAACGGGGACGCCGACGCTAACGCCGACACCGATGCCGGGGGTATAGCATAAGCTCATCTCGACTTCGTCGAGGTGAGCTAAAAATGTAAGTCAAATCCAGCATCCGAAGCAAGTTTTGAGATTGTCCGTCCCTTGATACATCATCCATGCAAGTTTGATTCAGATAGGCCTTATAGTTACTTGGAAATGAGATCTGCTCCAAAAACTTTAACCTGGTTACTCATCTGGAAAATGTAGGTCAGATCCAGCATCCGAAGCAAGTCCAGTAGTGTGCATCCTTAGATGTATCATCCATGCAAGTTTAGTCAATATAGGGCTTATAGTTACTTGGAAATGACATCTGCTCCAAAAACTGTAACCTGTTCACTCATCCCAAAAATTTAGGTCAGATCCAGCATCTGAAGCAAGTCCAGTAGCAGGGCTCTCGATTCTCTATAATTGGGGCCGTTTAAAGGTCCCATTCCCAATTCAAAACATAGGTAATCAAAGATTACGAAGCTCACCTCGACGAAGGTTATCTATAAGTAAGGCAAATCTCACATCATATTTTTTCTAGTTAGTGTACATCCCAAGATCAATATCTATACAAGTTTGGTTTAAGAAGGACTTATAATTACTTGGAAATAGACCTGCTCCAAAAACTTTAACCTGGTCACTCATCTGGAAAATCTAGGTCAGATCCAGCATCCGAAGCAAGTGTGGCAGTGTCCATTCTAGATGCATCATCCATGCAAGTTTGGTCCAGGTAGGGCTTATAGTAACTTGGGAATGGGACTTGCTCCTAAAACTTTAACCGGGACGCCGACGCTAACGCCGACGCCGACGCCAACGCCGGGGGTATAGCATAAGCTCATCTCGACTTCGTCGAGGTGAGCTAAAAAGGTACCTTTTTTCCCAATTTAATGTTTTAATTTCCCCAATTGGTCACTTCCCCAAATATTAAAGAACATGTAGTAAAATATGTAGTTCCTAAACTTGTTATTCACATTTCTCTGTATTACAAAACAGAAATTAAGTTGATAACAACCACCAGAAACTCAATATATAATGAATTTAATAGATATTGTCTAGTTATGATTTTCCCGCTAATTTTCCCAATTTTCACCGCCCGGCCCCACCCCAAAAACTGGTGTGAGAGCCCTGAGTAGTGTGCATCCTTAGATGTATCATCCATGCAAATTTAGTCAATATAGGGCTTATAGTTACTTGGAAATGAGATCTGCTCCAAAAACTTTAACCTGGTTACTCATCCGGAAAATATAGGTCAGATCCAGCCTCCCAAGCAAGTCCAGTAGTGTACATCCTTAGATGTATCATCCATGCAAGTTTGGTCAATATAGGGTTTATAGATACTTGGAAATGACATCTGCTCCAAAAACTTTAACCTGGTCACTCATCCATAAAATAGAGATCAGATTCAGCATCTGAAGCAAGTCCAGTAGTGTGCATCCTTAGATGTATCATCCACGCACGTTTAGTCAATATAGGGCTTATAGTTACTTGGAAATGAGATCTGCTCCAAAAACTTTAACCTGGTCACTCATCCATAAAATAGAGATCAGATTCAGCATCTGAAGCAAGTCCAGTAGTATGCATCCTTAGATGTATCATCCATGCAAGTTTGGTCAATATAGGGCTTATAGTTACTTGGAAATGAGATCTGCTCCAAAAACTTTAACCTGGTTACTCATCCGGAATATATAGGTCAGATGCAGCATCAAAAGCAAGTTCAGTAGTGTGCATCCTTAGATGTATCATCCATGCAAGTTTGGTCAATATAGGGCTTATAGTTACTTGGAAATGAGATCTGCTCCAAAAACTTTAACCTGGTCACTCATCCATAAAATAGAGATCAGATTCAGCATCTGAAGCAAGTCCAGTAGTGTGCATCCTTAGATGTATCATCCATGCAAGTTTGGTCAATATAGGGCTTATAGTTACTTGGAAATGACATCTGCTCCAAAAACTTTAACCTGGTCACTCATCCATAAAATAGAGATCAGATTCAGCATCTGAAGCAAGTCCAGTAGTGTGCATCCTTAGATGTATCATCCATGCAAGTTTGGTCAATATAAGGCTTATAGTTACTTGGAAATGAGATCTGCTCCAAAAACTTTAACCTGGTCACTCATCCGGAAAATATAGGTCAGATGCAGCATCAAAAGCAAGTTCAGTAGTGTGCATCCTTAGATGTATCATCCACGCACGTTTAGTCAATATAGGGCTTATAGTTACTTGGAAATGAGACCTGCTCCAAAAACTTTAACCTGCTCCAAAAACTTTAACCTGCTCCAAAAACATTAACATGGTCATTCTTTAGCTGAAATTGCAGCATCTGAAACCTTGACTGGTACAATAAAACACACTAGAAGCATCCTCCATGCATCTCTGACTAATATAGGCCATAGAAGTACTTGAAAAGAAAACTGCTCCAAAAACCTTAACCTGGGACGCCGACGCCGAGGGTATTACATAAGCTCCCCCAACTTCGTTGAGGTGAGCTAAAAATCACTGATTTGCTGATATGAATATAAAGTAGACTTTATGTTATCAGTATTCTATAGTTTACTATATTAAGCTCAAAGTTCTAGAGTCTTATGTATTTCTCTGCAGAGGATATAATAGAAAGAAAGAGAGTCACAATTTTTTCTATATACTGTAAAAGCAGAAATATTCGTTGGGGATTAAATTTCATTTATTTTGTTGTTTACAATTATCAACGAAATTAAATCCCACATGAAATTTTTATATCACTATAAATTGAATAGGGCTACTTTTGAAACAACGAAATTAAATGTTCTCGAAACCTTTTAAGATGACAAATCAATGAAATTTTATCCCCACAAAAATTTGTGCTTCTACAGTAGATGGCCAAACTTAAAGGAATTTCATCGGAAGTTATATTTGCAGACATACCAGTTACATGTTTATACAGGGACCTATATACTAACAGGATAGCCAACTCCTTCAGCACCATGTTTATTTACCAAAATCGTCACACACAACACTGCAAGTTTTTCAAACTACATTTTTTCCCAGTAAAAAGCTTGTTTTCTGATTAATGTAATCTCTTCTTTTTGTGTATCTGAATGGATTTTAATAAATTTTAAAGCACATATTATAAAATAATTTAGATATAAACAACCACCAAAATCATCGAATTCTCGGAAATAAAGCCGATCAGGGGCATGCACTGGTTTTTAAATAAACGTAATTACTACTAAGATAAGGAGTAAAAACAGTGCTAACAACAAATCTTGAATAATTTTTTGATAGATAAATTAAGGTTTTATTCTGAAACATTTCATAGCAAAAGAGAAATATTTAATTAGAATTGACTTATGAACTCCCGCAACTTACGAGATATCGCGAGACTTGCAAGAGTTGCCTATCACATTAGTATATAGGTCCCTGGTACATGTATATACATGTGTATATAATAAAACTAAAAACAAACATTGGATGAATACATGTACTTGCCTTTTTGTGTCCTCAGGTTCCCGCCTTGTGAACATGTAGAAGCGATTCTTTTTGAAGGCTGTACAGAACAAGATGGGATCAAACAGGACGTTCTGTAGGAGGGGATTATCAGAAGCTACCATCTCTACATCTACCGCTGCCTTCTGTTTCTTCCCTGTGCCCTGAAACAGACTCAGGTGCAGGAACCTGGCATTCTCAGGTTTTCCCAAGGTCCGGACACAGCGATTGGTGTACAGATTAATGACTGAAAACATTATTGTTTGATGACATTAATTTCTGAGAATTTCAATATACAGAAAATGTAGCTTAGTGAAATCTACTTATGTGCCAAGTTACATTGCAATCAGACCAAAATAGGGGTAGCGTTTTGAAAGTATTTAACAGAAATGTCTATTTTTTTAGTAACCATGGCAATTGGTAGTACAGTGTCATATATCTGTGGATATCTGGATACTACTAGTCACTAAAATCATTTTTATTAATATTTACATGTCTCTGCATATAGGAAAAACATTAGAAAAAATTACACATATGCGTACACTTGCTACAATAGGTGATACATGTATATGAGCTAGGAAAAAATAAATTATACTAGTACATTCATCTACATGTACACAATTTTTGTGCAACAAAAATAATACTGAAAAAAAACCCCATTCTTATGTCAAGGCATCCTGGTCTATACATCTTTTTAAAATGAAACCAAACCTTGTCAACTTAATACATTAGTATGTTTATCTCTTATCACTACATATACCACTATGAGTCATTGCTAAAATACTATCACATAAATGCATAAAAGATAAGGTGCTATCTAAAAGGACTCACTTTTGATTCCTAACATGGTGGCATACAAAACAAAATGTCCACTGTCATCAAAAACTGAAATCAGAAGAAAAAGTTAACAGTCGGATACAAGCATACTGAGCCCATCTTTAGTTACATGTCAGAACATGGCAACGGAATGAACACCTTTTTCTTTAAATTATAAAACATCTTAGGGGATGACCCTTTGTCTGTTTGTTGTTGCTGTTGTTGTTTTTTTTTGTTTTGTTTTTTTTTTTTTTGGGGGGGGGGGGGGAGAGGGGGAATATGGCTAGTTTACACCACAAAATAGAGTTTAGGATCTTGGGTAGGTTTTTTTTCTATTTATTTTTTTTTTTTGCTTGTCAAACTTTTCTCAGTGAAGAAGAAAATGAATAGTCTGTCCCTGATCATCTTGGAAATAAAAATTTTGTCCTTCACTGACAAGAAAAAAATAATCTGACTTGAAAAAAATTGCCACCCCCTCTTTCTTAGAATCAAATGGTCATCCCCTTATGAAAAATTCTTGTCAAAGAAAATATTTCCTCCCCAATTAAAAAAGAGAAAAAGACAAGTGTCAAACAAGAATACTGGCCCCTACAAAAGTTCACAATCACATTTGAAGTATACCAATATTGCATCTGTTGAATTGATCAGACTTTTCTAAGTCCCTCTCTGCTGCTAATCTCCTGCCAAATTCCATGTTTGGAAGTTGTTGCTTCATCTAAAAGCAGAAAAAGATGATTTACAGTTCACATATACCAACTTTTATTAATACAATGGACTTTCAAAGCCAAACTCTTGGCTTTAACTACTTAAACTGGTTTTACAAGGAAAGAAGGTAGACCATACTTGTTGAAGTTCAGTGAACTGTTGGAGAGATTCATCTAAAACCTTTGAGAGCTTTCCAGTCAGAAACTTGAACACTCTAACCTACAAAAAAATATATATATATTAAACTATGTACATTAGTTTGTATAATATGAAGTACATCACAACCAGCACTACTGGCATCACTGTTCGCCATAGGTTTTGATCCACCCCTGCTTCCACAAATACAAGAGGATTAAAACCTGTGGCTTGTGACAATACAACATTTGTAACAAACAAGGAGATGTTTTTTGTAAACTAAGATAGAAAATATTTTGATGCTGATCACTGGATCTCTGAAAAAGAGAATTTTGTTCAGTATAGATGTAGCCTTATCCTCGTGGTGTTTTAATCTGAAACTGACAGGTATCCATCCCCTATAAGGCATCAATGTGTCTATGTCTCTGATGTCACAGAAACTTGACTCAACTAAAGTCTCAATAACAATTGTAATCTAATGTACAAAAACATGCAGATGATGCCTCACATACACAGACATAATGTACAAAAACACGTGGATGACACCTCATGTAGACAGACATAATGTACAAAACATGTAGATGAAACCTCATGTAGACAGACATAGATGATGCCTCACGTAGACAGATATAATGAACAAGTAGATGACACCTCACGTAGACAGATATAATGTACAAAAACCTAAGGGATGACGCTTCACGTAGACAGACATAATGTACAAAAACATGTAGATGACGCCTCACATAGACAGACATAATGTACAAAAACATGTAGATGGCGCCTCACGTAGACAGACATAATGTACATGTTGATGGTGCCTCACATAGACAGACATAAATGATAATGTACATGTAGATGATGCCTCACGTAGACAGACATAATGTACAAAAACATGTAGATGACGCTTCATGTATGCAGACATAATGTACAAAAACATGTAGATGGCGCCTCATGTAGACAGACATAATGTACAAAAACATGTAGATGATGCCTCACGTAGACAGACATAATGTACAAGTAGATGACACCTCACGTAGACAGATATAATGTACACGTAGATGATGCCTCACGTAGACAGACATAATGTACAAAAACATGTAGATGATGCCTCACGTAGACGAGATTTATGTGAGATTTATTATAAAATCAACACAATATTACATTTTATCACTTCTCAGTCATAAAATGTATAATTTTGGTATTAAAATGAAGTGATACAAAAGATATCAGTCACAGACATAATGTACAAAAACATGTAGATGACGCCTCACGTAGACAGACATAATGTACAAAAACATGTAAATGACGCTTCACGTAGACAGACATAATGTACAAAAACATGAGGATGACGCTTCATGTAGACAGATATAATGTATAAAAACATGTAGATGATGCATCACGTAGACAAACATAATGTACAAAAACATGTAGATGACGCCTCACATAGACAGACATAATGTACATGTAGATGACGCCTCCTGAAGACAGACAAAATGTACATGTAGATGATGCCTCATGTAGACAGACATAATGTACATGTAGATGACGCCTCACATAGACATAATGTACAAAAACATGTAGATGATGCCTCACGTAGACATACATAATGTAAAAAAACATACAGATGACGCCTCACTTAGACAGATATAATGTACAAAAACATGTAGATGATGCCTCACGTAGACAGACATAATGTACAAAAACATGTAGATGATGCCTCACGTAGACAGACATAATGTACATGTAGATGATGCCTCATGTAGACAGACATAATGTACATATAGATTACGCCTCATGTAGACAGACATAATGTACATGTAGATGATGCCTCATGTAGACAGACATAATGTACATGTAGATGACGCCTCACATAGACATAATGTACAAAAACATGTAGATGATGCCTCACGTAGACAGACATAATGTAAAAAAACATACAGATGATGCCTCACTTAGACAGATATAATGTACAAAAACATGTAGATGACACCTCATATAGACAGATATAATGTACAAAAACATGTAGATGATGCCTCACGTAGACAGACATAATGTACATGTAGATGATGCCTCATGTAGACAGACATAATGTACATATAGATTACGCCTCATGTAGACAGACATAATGTACATGTAGATGATGCCTCACGTAGAGAGACATAATGTACATGTAGATGATGCCTCACGTAGACAGACATAATGTACATATAGATGATGCCTCACGTAGACAGATATTTCAAGGTCTCACCTTTCTGTCTTTAGCAATGGTTGCCATTTGTTTGCCATCTTTTGAGAAAGAAAGTCCTGTTGGCACAGTTTTACACTGAAAAAAAAAAAGCATTAACACATATTGGGCATTTAACAAAGACAATCTATTAGGGTGAATTCACCATGCATCGGACACCCTCACACTTTAACAAGTTCTAGCGAAGTTGCTACCGACCGAATATTATCAAAATGGAACTCAACATGTAGTATGTGTTTAAAATATAAATTTTTGACACAATCGTGTTCTATTTATTGAGAAAATATCATTAAAACCTGATTTTTTTCGAAATAAGTCAGAATTCACCATGAATCGGACAACATTCACCATGCATCAGACATGAGGTATTTAAACCAGAAAAATATCATACCTTGATCTCGGTGCTTTAAAATTAGTGATATCGAAACATTTTGATCTTTTATTTAAAAATTAAACTTCTAGTTAGATTTGAATGACTATTTCGATCCACAAATGTGAAGAGATTTTAGGTGAAACACATGGCCTCAGAAAGGCTTTACATTGCTAGTAATATGGCAACTCGCACCTTTGTCTCGTGGGTTATCATCATCTAGTTTAAAGAAATAAATTGAGTCCACTTCTAGTCATCATATATTGATATCTTGTATTTTCACTTAAAATTTAGAGTTTTTATTTTCTATTTCCGTAAAAAACAGCTGTCATTCGGGTTTTATATGAAAATGGAAGTGATTACCCATGCATCGGAAAGTGTCTGATGCATGGTTAATTTGTGTCTGAGGTACGGTGAAATAAACATAACAGTAAAAAACAACTCTAAAAATTATTATACAAACATGTTAGATTTGAACTAACTTGAATCTATACTTCATAGGGATGCTTTTGAATTAGTATGACAAATAATGGCTTTGCTGTTCTTAAGAAGAAAATCTTTATTGATATATCCTTTGTATAACTATTATCCCCTGTTATGGCCCCTCTATTCTCCTGGGGGAGGGGGGGGGGGGTCATGAATTGAACAAACTTGAATCTACACTACCTGAGGATGCTTCCATATAAATATGACCAATCAAGACTTTGCCGATCTGGAGAAGAAGATTTTTAAAGATTTTTCCTATATATTCCTATGTAAAACTTTGATTGCTCCATGTGGCCCCACCCTACCCCCGGGGGTCATGATTTGAACAAACTTGAATGTACACTATCTGAGGATGATTCCATATAAATATGACCAATCATGGATTTGCTGCTCTTGAGAAGAAGATTTTTAAAGATTTTTCCTATATATTCCTATGTAAAACTTTGATCACCCATTGTGGCCCCACCCGACCCCCGGGGGTCATGATTTGAACAAACTTGAATCTACACTACCTGAGGATGCTTCCACATAAGTTTCATATTTTCAAGCACAGTAGTTCTTGAGAAGATTTTTTAATCATGCCATTAATTTTTCACGAATTCAAAATTATCTCTCCCCTTGGAAGAGGGTGTGGCCCTTCATTTGAACAAACTTGAATTCCCTTTACCCAAGAATACTTTGTGGCAAGTTTGGTTGAAATTGGCCCAGTGGTTCTGGAGAAGAAGACGAAAATGTGAAAAGTTTACAGACAGACAGACGGACAGACTGACAGATGGACTACAGACAAAATGTGATCAGAAAAGCTCACCTGAGCCTTTGGCTCAGGTGAGCTAAAAACCCTTCATCAGAAATGCTTTGGTGTATGGTTTTGGAGAAGAGAATAAAATGTGAAAACTTTACACATGAAATTTGTACATACAACATACATTCTAGTGATTCTGGGGAAGAAAACAAAAATACAAAAAGTTTATGTTTGCCTTTCCTATATACAGACATTCATACTCCAGACAAACTTTGATCAGAAAAACAGACTTGAGCCAAGCACTCAAAATGTACAGTTAAACCTTCAATACCTTTGCAAATTCGTAGAGATCTGTATCTGTTTTGAACTCCCAAAGTATTTTCTTTGGAAATGCATAATCTGTCTTTGGTCCTGACCAATATTCTACCATACCACTCATGTCAACCGAGACTACTGCCTCAAACACTGGGTTATACTGCAAGTGTAAAGAACAAGGTAGAAAACACTATGATTTATTCATTTTCATCACACAATCTGTATGAAACACAAAACTAAAATTTCAAACAAATCTAAAAGCCAAAACTAGTGTGAATTTTGCTGAGAAAGTAGATTGACTTGGCTTTTGTTAAAATATGTTTATCAGCTTATTTGAGAATTGACTGAGAAATGACTGATATATGCATGGTAGCGAGAATTTTCCTCAGATATCTGAATAACTTACCTTGATCAGAGTGACAGGTTTAGCGTGGAGTTTCTCCATCTTGTGAATGCTTTCATGACTCCCCCTTCCATCAAATATGTGTATTGTGGGGTTTTCTTTTTCAGAGCTATAATAACAAACAGAATTCTTTATCCCATGTAAATTATAATTGTATATCTTAATTAAAATTCTTTTCACACAAGGCATTTCTGTATTCTGGAAAAGTTTACTACTAAAAATAGCAATCCAAATGAGAATTACATGTACCGGTATGCATCATTTGCTAAATTAAGCTAGTTTTAAAGTAATACACTAGGAAATAGGATGAAAACAAGCATTCTGAGAGTATTGCATTAGCAATACTAGTCCCCTACCGGCAAGTGTAATCTGGTTCCTGTTAAGAATTGAAAATGCCATAATTCCATCAAAAATTAATGAAGCGGGACGAAATGCAAACTTGATCTATAACTAATCAAGGTAAAGCCACATACCAAAAATCAGCTCAATATCTACAAGCGTTTAGAAGAAAATTGCGGAAAACTCGTAAAAATTGAAAAGGCCGTAATTCCGTCAAAAATCTATGAAGCGGAACGAAATGCAAACTTGATCTGTAACTCATCAAGATGCACTCACATACCAAAAATCAGCTCAATATCTGCAAGCGTTTAGGAAAAATGTGCAGAAAACCAAGTGGGACAGACTGACAGAGTGACAGACAGACGGACAGACAGACCGACGGACGGACAGACTCGGAGGAAACCTATAGTCCCCTCTGGTTTCACCGGTAGGGGACTAATAAAATAGGCACAAAATTTTTAAGTCTACTCACAGTATTTAAATGATTGAAATAGTGAATATGACTTTTATACATGTAATGAAAAGGCAACACAGAAGCTATAATTATTGATGTAAATCTCTTGCATAAAGTTTCCGGATAATACATGTATAAATATTTGAATCATTCATGTACATGTGCATGCAAGTGTATTTCTTGCACTAATAAAGAAATACAAACATTTGTGATGCACCCAAATGTAAAGTACATGATTTAAATATATCAAACAATTCAGTAAGATTTTCCTCCATCATACACAACTTACATTGCTAGTGCCTGAATGATGTCACCTGACTTATACAGCCAACCACACGCCAAAGGAGCAAAGTTCAACTTAATCATGGTTATCATATCTATAAAAAAATATATCATATTTGGTTAATTTTAGCAACAGAGCAACATTCCTTTCATGATTCAATATAAAAGTTATTTCTGGAATTTCAAATTTTTAAAATTTGAATTTTCTATCTTAGGTAGAATTCACAATTCATTGATATATTAAACATGAACCATACCAAAGTTAACAACATCAAATATTTTGGCTGATTTGTCATCTGATATGGTGGAACATAGTTCTCCATTATCACTCATTCCAAGGTCTTCAATGTTTCCTGCAATTATAAAGTCCATAAAATAAAAGCTGTTTATGTTCAGGAGATAAACAACTGCATGACATACATGTGAAGAAAAAATATATCCAATATATTTTTGTCCTATATTTTTATAATGTTGGTCAAGAGCTCTACAGGACTTAAATTTATTGCTATATAAACCTGCATTTAAATAAAATGTTCTGGTTCTGATATTTTTATACAGGAAGAGAGAAACCTGAATCATATAAATCTTCCATAATATGAACATACTTCAAATCTATAAAATAGTGAATAATTTTTCACATACAATTTTTCCATACCTAAATGACTTCTAAAATGTTTGACAAATTCAATTCCTTCTTCTTCATTTTTCTTCCAGAATTTAACATGACCATCACAGCTTGCAGTCACAATGAAGTCAAATCTAAGAAATTACAACTTCAATTATAAAGCAAGTCATATGAAAAAAGTATTAGTGCATCACAGCTTTCATTCAAAAATGTTCTTTGACATACAAATATTTAGTCTCATGTTTAATCTTAAACCAGTAAGAACTGATTGATCTATCTTCATGTCTAACAGAAATTGGCTTTGAAACTTTAAAAGAATATACCGGTACAATGTAGTATATTATATGAATTTAATGTATCTTTCAATTAACTTCCACACTTTGTTAAAGATGTGATGATGTAAAACACATACTTTGAAACAGCAACATGAGTAACAACATCTCTGTGCATGTAGCTTTTCTCATATGCTTCTGCATTAGGGAGATTGTCCAAATAAACTTGCTCATATTCCAACACTACAAAATACAGAAAAAAAAATGTGTGCATATGTTTTAATAGTGAATTTATCGATACAAACTGCTCTCAGAGTTAAGAAGTCCATAGTATGATACTATGGTCAGATCTCTCCCAACTGAATAAATATGGATTTTAAATTGGGGGGTTGGGGTGGGGGTAATCCTGGTCTGGTCTGTTGCATTTTCTCTCCCTTTTTCCTTATAAGAGAAATAATTCTTTTAACTGACGTTATCAAATTTATTGAACAAATCTTGTTGCTTGGATGTAATGGCTTTCAATACATATCCACATGCAATGAAAATTTCAAGCAGACAAAAAACAAAATAGTAAAAAAAAGATAACTGAATTATATTTCTAAACACAGTTGTTTAAATCTAATGTAACATGTGTAATATTCCATATTTTCATCTATCTGAATTTTAAAACAACCCAAGGCAGCAAAACAAACAAAATGGCAATGAAAACAATGATGAAAACTACGACCATAATAAACACAGATTTTTTTTTTCATGATCCTGTCGTTTGAAAGTTCAATAAATCGTTTGTTGCTTAAAATCACAGGTACTTGGGTCTTGGTTTATAAATATGTATGTACCTTATTGATATGTAAAAAAAGTACATATCAATAAGGTACATACATATTTATAAACCAAGACCCAAGTACCTGTGCTTAAAATAAAGAGAAAATAAATGATAAAAACGGAGAGTTTTCGAATTTCCTCTGATTACAATATTAATATTTAGGAAAACAAGGTTGATATACAATTAAAAAGCGATAAGAAACTCAAACCTTTCCTCTTCTTAGATTTCGCAGCTTCATTGGGCAAGGGACCGATACAATCATCATCATCTACTTCGTCTATTTCACGTTTGCCGCTTTCTATTGACATTTTTGTTAGTTTCCGGTGTGGAAAATGAGGAGTAAGTCGTACATTAAAGTATTCGAACTTCGTTGTGCTCTCGCACCTGAATGTGAATGTGTCTAAAATATCAACGAAATTATATGTCTTATTTATTGGACTGTTAGATAATAAAAATTCAATTTATTTCTTGTCAAAAAAAATCATATCACAGGCACCTGTTTCTGTAATAAATATTACTTATAAAAAATTGGTAGGTAGGTAAGGATTTTTTTTTTAAAATCTATCGTCCAGAATACATAAAAAAATAATTGCTCCCTGGAGGTTAAAAAAAGTTTTTAGCCAGTTAGTCAGGAGAGGGCAACCAAACATTTTTTTTAAAGATGGCCTAATGAGTACTTTTTCCTGGAGCATTATACTCAATGTTGACCACATAGACAGTGATATTATGCTTGAAAATATGTATAAAACAGAAGAAACAATAGATTAAGCTATAAAGAAATTATGAATTTCTGATGTTGCTATGGTGTTGGCTTATAATTTAATTTTCATTCATTTAGAGAAAGAAAAAAATCTGATTGCCCTTAAAAATGACTTGACAAATTGTTCAAAATTTAAAGATAATATCAGGCAGATTGATACGTTTTTGATGCAAGTCATTGTTATGTAGGCAACCCAATTTATACGATATAAAGTAAATTTTTATCCATTCAAATACTATGATATAACCAGAGTTAAATTATTCAGAAAGAACTTTACATAGCATACAGGGTTATGTTGAAGTAAGTAATACATAATTTCGGGACTTTCCACCAGGCCAGAAAATGTCAACATCAATGCTGAATAGTCCAAATCTACTATCCAGAATGTATATTAAAAAAAATTTGATTCCTGGATCATTCCTGGATGTTAAAAAAAGTTTTGAGTCGGCCCTTTTAGCCAGTCAGTCGGGAGAGGGCAAGCAAACAAATTTTTAAAGATGGCCTCATGTCCAACAATTAGCAAATATATAGGAAAAACTTGTGTTTTTTTTCAGACTATTTCATTCAAGTTAGAGACATGAACAAGAACCTACAATTATAAAATGCTAACAGTTACTATAACTATAAAGGTCCCTGACTTGACAAACTTGGCTGTCCTCAAAAGTTTGAAAAAACAAAACAAAAACGTTGAATGTGTTTTGATCGATGAATAAGTAATTAATATAAATAACATTTTTTTTTTCATATTTAATGAAACCAGAAATATGATTAGGCAGCAACAAAATAATCATCATTCACAAAAGTGACAAATCATGAACTAATTCACACATTTTCACATGGAGTCAAATGTTCACTATGTATTTTGCAGCACCGTAAAATCTTGTCAAAAAAATGTCAGGAATGCTACATATATTTGCACCAATGTTGTCATGACAATAAATCTTTTTCAAACTAAGACTTTGGAATGAGTGGTTTTATTTTCTTGGCATACTCTGTTGCCTTTTTCGCTCCCTCTGTCATCATTTCTTTAGACACATACATCTGTCCTGGAATATTTATTAACTGTGACTGGTCTCGAGAAGAGAACATATTCTCCAAAACATACAAAAATCCATTTGATGCTTTCACTGCATTCTTTTTAAACCTTTTATGAACAAAAGTACACACGGGACCACTTGCTCCGAATCGTAAAGGGGAATAAATCCAGGCTTTTCTCTCACAAACCACCATGTTCTTATTCTGAGGATCCTGTTTGTAAACCACTTTTTCCTCGACAGATACTATGTTCTGCATTGCAATGTTCCTCGTGTATGTCGTTATAAGTTTCCGAATAGGATCTACGATAGATTCTTCTACAATGTACGTGAAACTTTCGCCCCGTGAAAACTTTTGAACGAGGCTGGTCATTTTGTTGGTTTTCTTCAACAGTCGTTTGGTATGAAGTTCTTGGTCGACAACTCTTCTTGATATAACATCCTCTGATAACACATGTTTAGCGAATGGGTTTGGGTACCGATGCCAAAAGGCTATTGCTACTTGATCCCAATTAAAGCTGAAAGCAGTACTACCAAAGTAATACTTCATTTTCAACCCTTCAGGCCGTCTCGTCTCGTGCACGTTTTCCGATTCGACCTTCGAGAAAAAAGGCGTGTTTGATTACGTCGAAGACTGTTTCGCGCTACTGTATGTTCGCGCTGGCATGTTTCGCTCCAATATTCTGTTGAACGCACTCAGAGTATTGATTCGCGTTAACATGTGCTTGAATTCGGGGGGGGGGGGGTATTGTCAGAATTTTAAATGAAAGTAACAGTAGACCAACCCCCAAAGAACAGTTGGATTGTGAAGTATAAATCAGTGATAAATTATTTTATCTTATATTCCAGAAGATATTTTGAGACATTTGGAAAAGATAAGCCTCGGTGCAATAAAACGCGATTGCCATGATTACATGCATATTTTTTATGATATTTAAACTACATTAGAAAGGGTGAAGATAACAAACAGTGATCGATCTCAAAATCCTGTAAACAATTCTAATTGCGAACAAGGCAAAAACTATGGACCCTGGAAACGCCAGAGATGGGATGAAGTACCTAGGACGAGTAAGCATCCCCTGTTGACACGCCATGAACTATTGATCGGCGAGTAAACAGAGATAGTAATTAGTAGTGTACAAACAATGGCCTATTTAACTTAGAAATAGTTGGTATGAACCATGTCAGTCACAATGCAATCCAGCGATAGGTTTATTTATAACTAAGGTCATTATCGACCATAGAATTTGTGAAATACTGACATTAATGGGGATTGTTGAAAGTCCTTAACATCAACTTATTTTTCAGTAACCTGCCTCGGTTCAGTAATTGATCTAAGAGGATGCAATGATTTTTGTTCTCTGATTACATTCAAAATGTTCAATTTTGCTTTAAATTGCTCCCCAAATATCTGGACAGGAGAGGGATTATGCAATTACCCCCGTCCACCACCCACCCCAAAAATAATAATTTTAAAAATAACTTAGCAGTAACGGGTAGGGCCAAACTCCTTAAATTATTGATTTTTGAATGTTAGTAAATTGTTAGAAAAAAATGACATCAGACACCCCCTCCTTGAAACAATTTTGTTTGTTTACTAACGTGATTTGATTACATTTATCCGGTTTTAAAGCCACACATTTCAAAAGTGCGTGTGGGGCTGGGGGGGGGGGCAAGTTCTCAAGTTAAATCATCGCAGTATGCACCTTTGGTTAAATCATCATTGTGCGAGGCATCCTGGATTCTTTAATTGCAAAATTGCTTTCGATTATATATGTTAAAAATATATTTTAAAAAATATATTCTTCTCACAACTATTAACTGGTGAGAATTTTTAGTTTCTGCGTTTAAACAAACTGAACGAACCAAATAAGCATCTGACAGACGACGATTTCAAGCACCTCATTAACATAGAATGTATAATGATGACACACGTGTTTACTTCAAATTGACAGTATGGGCAAAAAGAACTTTAAAAAGAAGCCAGGTGCCTCACTTGGTAAGGTCCTCATACTACATTTGTTGTAAATAACTATTAATATTCATTTTTTAAAAATTTTCTTTTAATTCTGCGTCAAATCTTGAGCACACTGACGCTGATATGACAAATGAAACACAAACTGACAAATACTTTCTGATGACAAAAAGGTCCAATAGAAATTTGTTGTCAGAAAATTCCAGTCAAGTAAAGTTAAAAGTGTTTACAAAACACAAATAACAATTGTTCAGAAAATATCTGTTGCTGTCAGAAGAATAGACTAATGTTTCATTTAGAATTTTGTCAGATATTTTTGCTCTTTCTATCAAGTACCCAAGAACCAGGGTTCTCACACCACCTTCTTTGGAATGGAACTGGAGCCGTAAAGATTTGGAAAACAGCGAACCTGACGAAATCAGGGATGGGCACGATTACTGAAAAATGTAATTGATTAATAATCGATTACTTGGAGGAATTTTGTATAATTGATTATTAATCGATTACACTCATTTTTGTCCTGTAATCGATTGTAATCGATTACTTTGGAAGATGTAATCGATTAATAATCGATTACTTCCAAGTTTTTATCCCTTCAAATATCAAAGCAATATTTAAATGGTAATGTTGATGATACATGTGTATCCACTGAAGTTTGAATGTGTTCCTGCAGTTTCAGTGCAGATTCTTTTAAGATTTTATTCCAGCTAACATTTTCTCTAAATGCCCAAATGAGGGATTCTCTACCATGGAAAATGGAGACATGATTCGTACAATAAAACATACCAAGGAATTAATTATTCCTTTCAACCTTGGATCTGAACCTCCATATTTTTTTACTTGTTGCAAAAACTATTTGATATTTTATTGTGAATAACTTCATTAAAAGTATTTGGGCTGCCCGTATTTTGACAGTACACATTAAATATTCCTGTACGTGTCTTCTTTCAAAAAAAAATAAGTAAATTAGAACTCATAGTAATAAACAGTCATGTAAATTAAATGTGTCTTTAAGTAATTAAACTATAATAGCACAATTTCATTCTGTATTGAAATAACTATTTTGAGAGCTATTAATTGTTTAAATAATATTGTTTGTCTTCAATGGAACTATGAATTCTATGAGTTAAACAATAGGTAGTTCACAGTTTACACCTCATTATCTGCAAGTCAGGGATGTCTCAGTCAATTAATTAGCCAAGATAAGCAAACAAAGTGACACACTCCCTCTCTTACAGACACTTATAACCTCTCACTGATATAAAAGCAACCATACAATTTTGAATGAAAATTAACATAAGAATGATTTTGCAAATTTTAAAGTTACTAAAACACAAGTTAGAAGTTATTTAAACATTTTAAGATATGAATAAGTACCGATATTTCCATCTTCTTATTTTTCCGAGTACAATTTAGTTTATTTACCAAATTATTTATATTTAATATTTTATTATATTAATTTATTATATTTAATATATTTAATTAATCTGTTTTTGCTATTTAAAATTTTCTATTACAAGACAAAGTTTTTCAATATCTGAAATATGAAAAAGGACATGCAGCAAGAGGACAGTGGGTCAAATGTAAAATGCATTTAATACTACTAATAATAATATATTTCATACTAGACCAGTAGGTCTATAATGCAAATTTTATTGAGAACATTATTAAACTTATGATAATAAAAGTTAAGTAATCCAAACATTACACTAGGTGGTTTATATTTGATATTTATGTGTGACTGACTGGAAATGATTCTCCAAAATAACATCAATTTATGTAAAAATAATCGAAAGTAATTGAAAAAGTAATTATAATTACATTGGAAATTTTAGCTGTAATCGATTAAATTACGATTACAAGTAATCGAAAATCTCTTCGATTACAGATTACTGTCAATTACTTGGAAAAAAGTAATCATTACAATCGATTACGATTACTCGATTACGATTACCCCATCCCTGGACGAAATAATCATCATTCATAATTATAATCTTTTTAAAAATATTCGATACATCTTTAAAATATATTATCTATTATAATGATTAAAACTTAAGATAATTTTTTTTGGGGAAACATTTTTTACCAAATGTTTAGTCAATTTATCCATACATTCATTTCATGATAATTTAATGACCTGACCAGATACTGATCGGACATTTTTACCTCAAGCTTAAAACCCTTAATTTTCTGTATGTTCAAGCACACACACTTTTTAAAATCTTTTTATCTATCAGCTGAAATGAAATATTTTTTTTTTATATCCAAGTATAGATTATGAAATCAATATTGACCTATAAATCAACTGTATGATGACCTGACCGATTATATTTGAATGTATCTTCAGATATTTATAAAGTGTTTTAAATAAAATTTGTCTTTTGTTTAATTTTCCATTCATAATTAAATTATTGGTAAGTAATATGTAGTTTTTATAACTTGACCTAACCAGTGTAGAGACCTGACCAATCTGACATGAATATATAAAGACCTGACCAATGTAACAAACTAAAGATCTGACCGAAATGGGAAGTATACATAATTACAACTTTATAGACTGTTATGAATTCTAATTTAAATTAAGAGAGTTGTTCAGAAAGTTCGCGGAATTTTTTTTTTTTTTTTTTTTTTTTTATTGCCCCATCACATGTCCAAGTATATAATAGTGCCAGGGTTGGGGCCCTGGGTTCACTAAGTAACATACATAATACACATATATATTACACAATCATAATGTGACAGGACATTTTTTTCACATATCATTCACACACCATTCGCTACATAACATGCATATGATTATATTTATAATAATATTTAACAACTGAAATCTTAATATAATCAGTGAAAAGTTGATGTACTTCTGTAACTGCATTGTTTTTTCAAATATATTAATCATATTAAAACATTATCATATTCCATCGTTTTTTAAAACTGTCCATTTCCCCATTTTTCTTATAAATATATTTTTCACAATTAAAATAATACATAACCTCTTGTTTGACCCTCTCAAAAGATGGTACACATTTTTTGCATCTATTTCTATAAATATGCTTTTTTATTATACATACTACTAAATTAAATATATTGTTATATTTATAATGTTTTCCCAACAAAACATCAACTTTGTTTAGAGATATATCAACTCCAAACTGTTCTTTCATCCAATCCAGTACATTTTCCCAAATTTCTGCAACACACTCGCATTCCCAAAAAAGATGACAAAGTGTCTCTGGGTGTTTCTTACAAAAACTACATAAATCTGAGTCAGTAACACCAATTTTGTGTAAATATGTATTTGTAGCTAAAATTCTATGTACAATTCTATAGTGGAACCATCTTAACTGTATATCATTTGTTATGTTAAAAAACAGAATGTTTTGTTTTTTCCACCAAAATTCATCAACATTAAGTTCTAAAATGTTTTCCCATTTCATTTCACTTTTTGGTTTTTTGTATTTCTGACTAATAAAAACATCATAGAAATCTCTTGCACCTTGTTTGCTTTTTGTTATTGTTTGTAAGAATTTTGGGAAGAAAGGTTGATTTCTTTGAATTATCCTATGATCATAATTCAACTGTAATTTTCTAATACAATTTGTTATGCCTAAAAACATTGTAAAAGGTGTTTTTAAATCATATTGTTTACAAAAGTCTTGGTATCCTAACAAAGTCCCATTTGTATCATAAAAATCAAAAACAAATTGTATACCTTGTCTCAGCCATGACTTATAACAAACACTTCTGTTGTTTATACATATTGATGGATTATACCATATGGGACTTAAAATAGATGTTTGATCATCAATACATAATCTCAAATCCAACAATGCTGAAAAAACATCATTCCAGAAAACATTTTCCGTATCTTTCTTAAGTTTTTTTGAAAAATCCCTACCATAGATAACTAAATATTTAATGTCAGGAATTAAATCTTTTAGCAATTCTTTCCAGGCTGATTTACATGAACTATCAAACAATCTGCGAATCCATGTAATTTTTAAACTTTTACAAAATGAATCAAGACATGTCATTCTCATACCACCGTTTTCATAACTTTGGCATATAATATTTTTAGCCACCCTAGCCGTTTTGGTATTCCAGATATAATGAAAAAATATAGCTTCAATTTCTTTGAGTTTTTCTTTAGAAGGGCTCGGTAAACTAATTAATAAGTGACTAAATTTAGGTAAAAGCAAGGTTTTTACTACTGTTATACGACCTGCCGTTGATAAATGTCTTCTAGACCATGATGATATAAGCTTTTTGACAGAGTCAATCTTTGGCAAAAAATTCAAATCAAACATAGTGTTTGTGTCTAGATCTACACAGTATGCTATACCTAACACTGTAAATGGTTCCTGTGACCACATCAAGTTTTGATATTTATCACACAAGTTATCATCAGTATGAACAGTAGATCCAATCCTAATACATTGAGTTTTATCATAATTTGGCTTCAGTCCAGAGAATTTGGAATACTGATTGACTAAAGACAAAGCTGATCTAATTGAGTCTTCTGAACCATCCATTAATAAAACTGTATCATCAGCATATTGTAGTAGTTTATATTCTTTATCTTCAATAACAATGCCCTTTATTAATTTATTATTTCTAATCATAATTCCCATTATTTCTGCACATAGTAGGAACAAGTAAGGTGAAATTGGGTCACCTTGCCTACAACCTCGTCCCATTTGGAAAAATTCAGAAAAAATACCATTTTGAATAACACATAACTTAGGTTCTCTAAACAAAATCTTTATCCATTTTAAAAAGTTCTCACCAAAATTAAAAAATCTGAGTACTTTAAAAATAAATCTCCAAGAAATAGAGTCAAATGCTTTCTCAAAGTCAATCAATAAAACAAGACCTGAATGATCATTCTCTTTACAATAATGTATGATGTCATATAATAACCTTGAGTTTTCACCAATATATCTACCAGCAAGAAACCCTTTTTGATTTTCATGTATTACTTTTGACAGAATTGGTTTCATTCGATTTGCTAAGACACTAGATAAGAG